CATATCTTCTTTACAATCCAATAAAAATATCACAACTCTTTCATAAAATACGTGTTTTTATTTTAGGCGTGTGCCGTGCCTTAATCGTGGGCGTCTGAACGCGAAGGCAGGGTCGGCCAAATTGGACGAGACCTGTGGTACCTCTGGTGGCAGATTGATTGCTGGCGTAGACAGGTCTCATCCGATTTGGTAGATCAGAACTTCGCGTTCAGACGCCCACGCGGGGCAGTCTTAATGGGCTTAACCTAGCTTATTATTTTAATTACTAATATGCGTTTAATTGTTGGTTTTCTGTTTGCTTTTGTGCCTGAATTATTCAGATCATTGATTTTTTTGTCAGGTTTGACTCAGAAAAAGTATTGTTTCCGAGGAACTAACGAATTGATTTCCAAATCAACATTAATCTAAATATTACTGATATTTGACTTATAACGATTTAAATCCTGACATTTCATCCAGAGAAGTGTTCTATTTACGAGAGATAAGCCTGTTGGTATAGTGGTAGACCCTGATTGCTAAACCATAGGTTGTGGGTTCAATTTCCACCCAGGACAAATAATTGTCTGATGAACACGATCATTTGTTTTGAATTAAGGTGTTATTTATGTATAATTATGTATGTGTTTGGAAATAATTAAGTATTTTTGTCAGCAGTCTGGTCAATATAATACAGGCCCTGCCTTGGGCTCACACGGCCGTGTGTGAAATGTTGTTTAAATATGGGTGCTGCTCTAATTTGGTACACCATAGTTTTTTCTTAGTGCCAAGATAATGTGAATCTGTACTTGTAACTTAAAACTTTTATGCATACATTCTGTCCCGCTAAAATACGAAGGTACGAGTAATAGGTGCCAAGCTTATTGCCTTCAAGGAAGCAATCTAGGAATAAGAAGAGAAAATTAGGAGTTTATTGAAAAGGGTTAAAAATGGGCTTTGGCTTATAAAGGTTCACACCCATATACGTGACCCGTTTTTTTACAATTTTACTCTCTTCCGCTCCCCAGTGATGTGGCCATAGTATAATTACGCCCTACGTAAAAACTAGAGGGAGGACCCCAGCAACGTTACAAAAAGGTAATTTGGCTCTTATTTGGCGCTTTTAATACAGCGCTTGCCATATATATGATATTGAATACGTGACCAAAACCTAAGAACTTCTTTGGCTTCTGTGAACAAGCGTGGTATTTTGAAGACCCTCCGCCCCTGAATGGGTCACGTAAAATGGGACTTTATCCTAAGAGTTAATTGGGCAATAGAAGAAATTAGTCGAGCTGATCAGCGTCGATCGTCGATACTAATAGATCGAACTGGCTTTTGTCGGAAATAAAGACCGCATTTACAACAATTTGTTATTTATGATTATCCATGAAATTTAATGTTGTCGTTCGTGTTTACATTAGCTGGAGAGTTACTTTAATACAGCCTTTGCATGTTCAAATCAATAACAGTGGCCGCAGCGGTAGTATTATAACTACCTGTATCTATATGTCACGGGTATTTATAATGAATATTCATGGTGTCCTTGTGCCATACCGACATGGCATGCCATAACATGTGATAAAAGATATTTGAAATAGGAGTAATTGTGCTTTTTAATTTATAATTTTAAGTTAATAAGTGACCATGATCTGTGCACTTTAATCAGGTATTTTAATCATGATTTTTTTAATAAGTATTTACAAGGATGTATAAGATTAAAAAATAATACCCGGACACATTTCATACACGGACGTCTGATGACAACCTAGGCCGAGCCGTGGTAATCAGCCTGCTGATAAACATCCTTAGGAATTTCTGAATGTAAGTATATAAAATATATATGTATATAAACTAAACCCCGACACAGAATTAATTATTGTGCTCATCACTCAAGAATTTTGTCTCTTTGGGAATCGAATCCACGACCTTCTGCTTAGCAGTTAAGACCACTAATGACTAGATCGACAGGCTAATCGAAGATAAGTTAGCTACCCTGATTGACCCACTTTAAATCTGAGTTTTATTTTTCAAAATAAACTGCCCTGGGACTTACGTACAAAAGCAAAAAAAAAACGTAAAATAATGAAGATATTCAAGGTTATTCTTCACAAAAAAAAATCGTACTTCAACAAATGTTTTTCCTGTGCGATTCCGTTTATCTTAATTATCTTTTAATTAGTGTGTACGTTGTTATACACTGTGAAATCTAAGTCTGCGTTGTACAAAACACTGTTCTCAAACTATGACAGAGCGGTTTACCTACCTTTCAAAAAATTCGTTGTCAACGTGAATTGTGAGATTTAAAAAAAACTAATACAGTTAGTGTAGCTAAGCTTTATATTAATAGCTCAGTGCGCATACTTCTACACATTTTTACCACATAAGGAATTGATAGATACGACATTAGCCGCTTAAATTCGGTTCCCCGGCTACTTGGAAACGGCGTGAGGTTTTTGGTCGGTTCGAGTCCGACATAGGGTACTTAAAGGAAGACGAACATAACATGTCATCATAATGATAATAATGATTTACTTCATAATTTTGTTAAATGTAGTCCAACGAATTTTGAACAAGAAGCGATGTATTCGATCCAATTGGTGTCATTAATTAATAACTGGATCAGTATTATCAAGGATATCTTTGTGGTCGTGAGCCTCAAATTGATTTTGAGTAATATCGGTAATGTGTAATAGGAATGAAAGGACCATATGGATTTAGTAATCCGATAAGATAAAAGTAAAGAAGAAGTCGAAAGATTTTAAATTAAACCTGCAGTAAATAAAAAAAAAAAATATATTGTGCCTTTCAGCTAACATAACGTAATGTTATCATTTTTTCTATTTTATTTTTTTTAAAAGGAACTCTCGCACCTGGAATATATCCTAGGTCACAGGTTACTTTACACACATACATGAAACGGATACAAAGGACACCCAGACTCAGAATAACTATTTGTGGATCACACAAAGTGTTGTCCCATGTGGGGGTCGAACCCAGAACACTCAGCGCAGTGGGAAGCGGCGAGGTGACCGCTTAAATCGCAGCCGCTTTTTAGTTCTGGGGCTTAAACATATAAAATAAGGAGTCAACAAACAGTTTTTACCAGCTATGTTTTCAGACTTCTTTCTACAAGTTTTTCATGGTCCTTTGAATTTGAATGACCCCCTGATCGGTCGAAAGCGTTAACACCCAATCACTAATTTTATTGATCATAAGAAAAGCCGACTATAACTGAAAAAAAACCGAACTTTTCTCGACCTAACTAAATGCCACACGTGTATTTAATAACCTTCAAGAAGTCGCAAGATAATACGAGACTTTGTTTGGTCTATTGATTAGAAACAACTGAATACAAAAACAAAGTTAACTCGTCTACACCTTTGAATGAAATTTGTTTAAGAATCAGTAAACAATTGATCTAATTTAACTCTTTAATTCAATTTAAAAAGGCCACCAGCTGCATTTAAATTCTTGCATCACCAGTGAGTCATCTTCCGGATCATGCCATGGCCTACCGTGCCTTTATTCACCCACCACCCTAGAGCTCTATTAGTAAGTAGCCATTGCCCACGACTTCACTTGCATGTTGTTTTTCTTATTTCGTGTTTCTAACTTTGAAAATGACAAACTTCCATACAACCGTTCATACCTTATTTTAGGCCCTTAGGGGTGAACTTTTCAAAAATCCTTTCATAGTGAGTATTTACAATATATCATTTCACTTCACTTCATCTGTTAAAATTTTAAGTTTGTAGCCCCAGCGGCTTAGACCCTTGGTCGATGAATCAGTCAGTTAGTCAGCGCAAGTGATTTTATGTAATATAATTTTATATATATATAATTTTATAAGCGGCAGTAGCCTAGTGGTTAAGGCATTGGACTTGCGATCAAGAGGTTGTGGGTTCGAATCCTGACCAGTACACTACCGACGTGAACCCACTCCTAACACAAGCAATTTGGCTTAGCTGGAGGGGTTAACGGGAATACTAGTAATTTCATTTAATAAACTAGTAATTTCATTTAATAGATAAAAGTAAAATAGTACGCATTCCATGCATTCGTTTATTTTGACAGTTCAGATAGTGAACTTAGTAATTAATTAGCTCGTTTTAACGTAAAATTTAAGTTCTCAATTGATACGAAACTTGTTTAGTGAATTAAATTACCCACGCCAAAGCAGAAATATATATTAATTCAACTAAGGACTCAAGTGACGAGCGAAATAAAATCGAAATTAAAAAAAAAAATTTTACAAATACCCGTTGTTTTCGTAGTTTTTTGGGTTATATACCTCAAAAGGAAAAAATGGAAACCTTATAGGACTACTATCGTCCGTCTGTCTATCTGTCAAGACTCATTACGTCGGGAACGCGTATAGGTTTCGAATTGAAATTAAAACCATATACTCAGGTCCTACGGTCCCTTGAAGCTGTAAAATAATCAAACTGTTTATGTCGCAAAAACGCATGTTTCGACACTCTCAAGGGAATCAAAATTCATTGAGTACTTCCCGTTGACTTTTGACATTACATTTGGCAAGTAACATCGTTTTCTACTACAAGTACAGGGAAAAATCTGAAAACTATACATTTGTAAATATATAGTAATATAGTATTTGTTTAAAGTATGTAATCAATCATTGAGGTACATTATCTTTTATAAGACTAAAGAATATAAGTATTTATAAGTTTTGTACTCTAAAATTCGGGGAAAGCTCCTAAAAAACTACGAGATTCGATTCCTGAACTATTTATAAAATGTAACTACAAATGTGTATGGAACCCTTGATGGGCGAGTCCGACTTGCGCTTGTCCGGATTTTTTACTTAATGATGATGATAAAACGGTTTCAGAAATCGGACAGGTTTATCAAGTTGAAAGAAGGTTCTTCAAAACAAGATTCAATATTTTCTTTATCACAAGAACTACGATCATAGTATGGTACCATAGAAGTAATCACCAAAAAAGGATATGTCGGCCCGCCCGGATGGATAAATATTTTTATACGAATAGTATCAAATAATGAAACCAGACGAACTAAACAAACCTCATTGTGAGACGATGAAGCATAATGGAATAATCGGCCAGTTGACAATGGAGACGCAGGCGCCGACTGATGAGGAAGCAATTGGCGTCGACACCAGTGACCCCTGGTCCAGATTCAACAAACGATACTCAAGTTTATTGGAGTGGAGTGAATATTTTCTCGGTATTTACAACCTACAAGAAAACTTCCATTAGATGTGTGACCTTCCGGTGCAACAATTTAGTGAATACTATTTCGGCTGCTAATTTACCAATGAAACCGAATTACATATGTCTGGTTACGATCGGTCTATAAATGAAATGGTTTCATACAAAAGTGCTACAAAAAAATTGTTCAAAGTATAGATTTACAACGATTACCATAAATTTGTATTTCAGTGTATAATGTACTAGCTGATCCGTGAACCTAATCGGAGTCTCTCAAGAGGAATTCCCCGATATTGCAACATTTTACATTGGCGCTTGGCTCCTATTGGTCGTAGCTTGATGTTATATATCCTTTCTCGATAAATGGGCGATCTAACACTAAATGTTTTTTTCAATTGGAACAAGTAGGTCCTGAGATTAGCGAGTTCAACCAAAGAAACAAACTCGTTAGTTTTATAATCCACATTATGATAGATATTTCTACCAAACACTTTCTAATCGTTTATCAGTCCTACGATGTTTGGCTAGAAATTGTTCTCGCTGTACACCTTCGGCAACTGAAGTTAAAAAAAAGATGCTTCGGTCGGAACAAGATCGGTGCTTTCTACAATCCGAGGAAAGTAAATATTTATAATAATAATAATAATAATAAATCTTTATTTCGGAATAGTTTCCATATAATGTTTATGATATATCTTTATTTTGGTTACATTACTTATGTAGCTATCTGTAACCATTTTTTAAACATGGAACTGTTACATACCCTGTCAGCAAGTTCCTTAATTATAGTGTTCCTACACGAACCAACCCGGGCCATAAACGCCGCGATTCGGCTTCTTTGGATGGCATTAAACGTGTTCAGTCTTGCCTCTACAAACATTGTGGAGGCGCTACAGAAAGGTGCTAACCCCATAAGGTGCCTATAGATATTATTGTACTGAACACGAATGCCATCCAAAGACCTCTTCGTATATGCAGTCCAGAGTTGACACGTGTAGAAATTCTGACAGTATGCTCTGAACAGGTGCACTTTAGTCTGTACATTGGCATTAAAAAATCTCCTGGCAATCATATTGCCAACGACTGAGAGTGCTCGACGCTGTCGATCGATATCAGCGTCATCTCTCATGTCTGACGTGAGTATGTGACCAAGGTACTTGAACCTCCCCACCATGTTAACTATCTGTCCTCCTAACCACACCGGAGGCACGTTCTGAGGACCTCTTCCCGACCTGAATACCATCATTTCAGTCTTTTTTGCATTGTATACTAACTCATGCTCTGTAGCATATCTCTCACATATAGCTAGCAGTCTTCTTAAGCCCTTGATCGAGGGGCTGAGCAGGACCATATCATCAGCATAACTTAAGTTGTTGACGTATCTGTCACCAAGTTTGAGCCCTACCGGAGTCCTGCTCAGCTCCCCTATCAGGTCATTGATGTAGAGGTTAAACAGGTCAGGAGAAGTCAACCCCCCCTGTCTAACACCACATGATAGCTTGTAGCTGTCCGACATAGCTGTCCCCCACCTGACACTATTAAACTGATTACAGTACCAGTATCTAATCAGTCCAACAACGCCCACCTGCACGTTACTGTTATCTAGTTTCTCCCATAGCAAGTCGTGATTAATAGTGTCGAATGCGCGACTTAGATCCAGGAAACAAGCATAAACACTTGTATCTTGGCTGACGTACTGCGACACGACCTGTTTTAGGGAGAAAATAGCCATGTCAGTTGATACCTCAGAGCGAAATCCAAACTGTCCATCATTTATCTTTAAGGATGGACTCAACTTTTTGTGTATCAACCGTTCAAGTACCTTTGCCACTACCGTTGCCAAGGAAATGGGCCTGTAGTTGGAAATGCTCGAGACATTACCCGTTTTGTTCTTGGTTATCGGTACCACAACTGTACGGATAAGATCAGCAGGCAAGTACATATGTCGCGCACAGAGACTGAAAAAACGAGCTAAAATATCAGCAATATACCGGCCCGCATAAAGTAGATGTTCCAAGCTTAAACCATCATGGCCTGGGGATTTTCCACGCCTCATCCCTCTGAGTACATTGATAACCTCGTCAGAAGTGACGTGGAAAGCTTCCTCCTCTACCTTATACTGCCTAGAAGACCCCTCGGGCCACGCCCTCCTTGTGGTAGGCCGCGGTATATCAAAATGCATTCGAAATTTGTTTGCAATACCTTTTTTATCAGTTTCACCCTCTACACTGATCGGGGCACTACTCTTAGGGTTCAGTTTTTTAACTTCAGTCCAGAAACTACCGAAATTCCTAGCTGACGCATGTTGGGCCAAAAAGTCCATTTTAATTTTTTCCTGGTTACTCTGTACGTACTTGAGCGCAGCTTTAAAGTCTCTGCGCGCAGTACACATTTGTTCGTAGTAATATCCCGAGCACGGTCTACCATATGTATTCCATTCTATGAATGTACGCCTGGCCAGAACGTGATACTGTCTTACATGGTAGTTCCAACCAACTATATTGCGTTTTTTGGTATCTTTATAGACATATGTACATTCAGCGGCTCTTTGTAATATATTTACTATAGTACTATATATTCTATCAATTATTTCTATATGCTTTTTATCATTACATGAATTAACCTCACACTCCAAATTAACATTATTATTACTATACATTAAACTAAAGTTATCACAACAAATTTCACGATATTTATCACATTGATCCTTATTTCTATAACCCCATCTAAATTTTAAATTGCAGTCAGTTCTAGTATCACTTATCAGTCGTTTGCAACTAATATTATTAAAACTTACCTGTATCACTAAAGGGAAGTGATCGGACAGATAAGCATCATACAACACGTGTACCCCGCTTACCGCTGACTCGGCCGCCGTGGAAACAAGGCAGTGGTCAAGCCAGCGTTGCGAACCTGTCGCGTCACTTACATATGTATATGCATTTACATCTAATCGCTTAACATCTATACATGACAAAAGCTCCTCAGAGCAGTAGTCCAAGAGTTCTTTGTAAAACCTCGTACCAGGGTGCGCATTAAAGTCCCCCAAAACAAAAACACTTTCTACGTCCATACTTTCAATTATTGCACTAATATTAGCTAGACACTGTGACATTTCATAAAAGTTCTCTTCACTATCGGTAGGCATATAAACACTGAATACTAGTAAACTTCGATCATCATGCTCAAGTTTAACCGCAACAATACGATCACTGTTACACTGTACTATTTCCGCACGTGCAAATATTCTGCGGTCCCACAAGAGAGCGACCCCCCCGTACGGCCGCCCACGCACCACTCCTTGTCCCGTGTCGATAGCAGAAATACCATGACTACCGAAATGCTCACTGATTGTAGTTAATATACCAAGATCATGAGGAAACAACCAAGTTTCCTGTAGTGCGATTATGTGTTGGTTAAGACAAAAATGTGTAATTTCTTGTATAGACCTCTTCAACGATCTGCAGTTATATGAAATACAGCTAATTATGTTTGTGTTATCCATATTAATTTATTTGTATTGTCTTGGCCTTTGTGGACTATGAGAAAGCCTTCGATTCGATCGAAACTTGGGCAGTCCTTAGGTCTCTCCAGCGGAGCCGTATTGACTATCGGTACATCGAGGTATTGAAGTGTTTGTATAATAACGCCAATATGTCAGTTCGAGTACAGGACCAGTACACGAAGGCAATTCCATTACAGAGAGGGGTAAGACAGGGAGACGTTATTTCTGCGAAACTGTTTACCGCTGCTCTGGAAGATGCCTTCAAGCTCCTGGAATGGAAAGAACTTGGCATCAACATCAATGGCGAATACATCACTCACCTTCGATTTGCCGACGACATCGTAGTCATGGCAGAATCGCTGGAAGACCTGGGACAAATGCTCGCTGACCTTGACGGAGTTTCTCAACAGATCGGCCTTAAAATGAACATGGACAAGACGAAAATCATGTCGAATGTCCATGTCGCGCCGACTCTCATAGTCGTGGGAAACTCTGTCCTCGAAGTTGTTGACGAATATGTCTACCTAGGACAAACGGTCCAATTAGGTAAGTCCAACTTCGAGAAAGAGGTCAATCGTCGAATCCGACGCAGCTGGGCAGCGTTCGGGAAATTACGAAACGTCTTCACGTCCAAAATACCTCAGTGCCTAAAGACGAAATGCTTCAACCAGTGTGTGTTACCAGTGATGACCTACGGAACTGAGACGTGGTCTCTTACTATGGGCCTAATCAGAAAGCTCAGAGTCGCTCAGCGTGCTATGGAAAGGGCTATGCTTGGCGTTTCCCTGCGTGATCGAATCCGCAACGAGGAGATCCGCAGGAGAACAAAGGTGGTTGACATAGCCCAACGGATTAGCGCGCTCAAGTGGCAATGGGCAGGGCACATAGCAAGGAGAACTGACGGCCGATGGGGCAGCAAGGTTCTCCAATGGAGACCACGTACTGGAAAGCGCAGTGTGGGACGACCGCTTACCCGATGGACGGACGATCTGGTAAAGGTTGCCGGAAACCGTTGGATGCAGGCCGCAATCAACCGTCCCCGCTGGAAATCATTGGGAGAGGCCTATGTCCAGCAGTGGACAAGCATAGGCTGAGAAGAAGAAAAGTTCTTTTCACGCTTTCTATTGCTAAAAACCGAATTGAAATCCGTTCAGTAGTTGATGAAAAGATTTACATTTTTTTATAGTATAAGCGAGTAAATGAGGAGACGGGTCAATTGATGGTAAGCAACTACCGCCGGCTATGGACACCTGCAACTCAAAAGTTACAAGTGCGTTGCCGCCCTTTGAGTCCCTCTCGCTCGAGTCACCGGGAAGGGGGTTTAAGCTCCGGTAACCTCACTCACTCAGTGAAAGGCAACGAAAGAATTGCTTAACATCAGTTTTCTGTGAGGCCGTGGTATCACTCCGGTCGAGCAGGCTCATTCGTGCCGGAGCATGGCTCTTCCACATTGCATTGTTTATGTGGTCTTCAGTTTGAAATATATGAATGTAGATAAATTGTTCACATTCAAGCGTAAGCTATGTCAGAAGGCCTATTACTC